GTCCCCGAGGAGTCGGGCTTCGTGGTGGCTCGAGGGTTTTTTTTTCCTTTGCGTTCCTCTTAGGGAGAAAAACCGGCCCCGAGGAGGTGGTAGTGAGTGCAATGTGCCGGTTTGCAGCGGGGTGGGGGGGGACCTTGATGGTGAACCGGGAGGGTGGCCCTGGGGAAGCCAGTCAGTAGCTAGGCAGGCTTTTAGGAGCCGTTTAGGACTTCGTCCTCGCTAGTTGTCTGCTCGTGGTTAGTTACAAGCTCATCTGGAAGGGAAATTGTAGTTAAGTCAAAAGTGAACAAAGCCAGTGGCTCAAACTCGCTTTTATGGGGGAAATATATCTTCTTTGAATGTGGAGTGCCTGCAGAAAAAACCCAGCAAGCAGGCTTTGTATCTAGAGCTGGCTGGTGTTAAACAGAAGCAGCATTGTCTGTAGTCAGTCTATGGCCCACTGTTTCCCTCTCAAAATGCTGGAATTGGTTGTCCTGCCTGACGCTTGAAGACCAAGCCATGCCTCCCCTTTTTCTGAGCCTGAGCCAGCTTTGACTGCATCAGTGCTTGAACTGAATATCCTCAAAAGAAGGAAATAGTATTCCTGTAAGGTGTATGTGCAGCAGAGCTTACCCCCATGAAAAGTTAATTTAATACTAAAGATTAGTTATTGACTTAGTTTCTTTCTTTCTTTCTCTCTTTTTTTTTTTTTTTTTTTTTTTCCCAGTCACAGGTTGGGCTCTCTTCAAAACATTAACACCAAACATGTATTTCTCTGTGAATACCTCATGCTACTTTAGCAAGTTACAGTTACTGTGCACTCTAATGTAGCTTGACATAATTCAAAGTGGAATCCTAAATAGGATTTTAAAGAAAAAACACTTTAATCCAGTTTCAGATAGCCATCTTTGTCCATCTGAGTGTGAAATTCTCTTCTTTGCTGTTTGCAGTTGCTGTCACTTTGGCATACGTTCAGAGAGGACAATGTCCAACGTGCCAGTGGCTGTGGTGACCGGGTCCAACAAAGGGATCGGATTCGCAATTGTGCGGGCTCTATGCAAGCAGTTCCAGGGGGATGTGTACCTGACAGCCCGAGACCCTGGCCGTGGCCAGGAAGCAGTGGCAAAGCTCCAGGAGGAAGGTCTACATGCACTCTTCCATCAGCTGGATATCGATGATCTGCAGAGCATCAGAGCTCTCCGTGACTTCCTGAAGGAGAAATATGGAGGGCTGGATGTGCTGGTTAACAATGCAGGGATTGCTTTCAAAGGTAGGCCTATCCCAGACAGTTCGCTTCCTATGTGCTACAAAGCTATGTGGAGAAAGATAGTAGGTGCATCAAGTATTTTACAAAGCTACTTGTACGGGACTTCTGTGCCAGTGACGTTGCTGCTTTTTTGGCTGGGCAAGCTGCCTACCTTCTTAAGCATGATGAGAGGGCAATGTGAAATGGCTCTTCCTCTAGCATCTGTTGGGCTAACTGTGCATGTAAAGATGCTTCCCTGGAGTATTGCATTTGCATCACGTACAGAGCATGAAAATACTTAAGGTACACAGTGCACGTGAGCAGAGTTGGGTTTATTGCCTCAGTGCCCATGAGTTTCACCAGGCCCATGGGACACTATCATCTGCATGAATATCAGCCATGTTCCTCAGGGGATCTGTGTTTTCTCTCTTCTGTAAACTTATGCATTACCTGCTCAAGGATCCCGGTTGATAAAAAAAGAACCTTTGGCCCTGGGTGATTTTGTCATCTTTACTTATCTTTAACTTTCTCAGGCCTTTGGTTACTTATAGAACAGTTAACCTAAATCTTGCTGTCCTGAGCAAGAACTTTACCCTTTCATTTTCTAGTGGACAGGAAGGCAGGGAAAGTGAGGAAGACACAGCGGTTGTAAGGTAGAAAAGTGCATTTTCCTGGTAGGTGTTTATACAAAAAAGTTGAGAATCATGTTTTCCCCAGATAGAGCAAATCACAGGCATGACTACTAGTTCATTTCCCTGCTAGTACAAACTTGTTCTTGCCATTTTTTCGGGGGGGGGGGGGGGGTGGTGGTGGTGGTTGGTTGTTTTTAAATCTCTTTGCCTGATCTCTAGTTAGGACATGTAACTGTTCAAGCACAGTGTTGTGCTGATTCATCAGCTCACAGCATGAGTTAAGGAGGCCTGTCAGGTAGTATGCATCAAACCTCACCTGCTGCTGAAGATGCAGCTTCTCATACAGTGGGAGTGCAGCAAGGGTGTTCTCAAGTCCAGTCACTATATATTTTGTACGGTACTTTGCAGGAAGATGGCTTATGTTCAAGATCAGCTTAATAGGAGGCAACTCTTAATCTAATTGTCTGAGTGTCAGGATGTGCTCAAGTGGTGTTAAAACCTCTCAGAAACAGTTAAAAGATTGTATCTCTGTCCATGATTATAACTTACAAAGTTTGCAGATGCTCAGACTGGTATTTCTTCCATTCATAACTGGGGCCTTGGCTCAACCTACTAGTGACAGTGAGTTTGAACAAGACTGGGCTGCCACTACAGCAACTGAAGTGCACTGTGTGTTTTCTGTTGCTGGCTTTGCAGCAGCTGTAGCCTCCATGAAGGTGGGTACCTGACAGGTGAAATAAAAGCTCCTCAAATTGCTGCAGCAAGACTTGCTGGAGCTCATCTGAGACATCTTTATTATCGTGAAGCCACTGAACCTGTGAATAGGTAAAATAGCATGACCAGTGGAGTTCCTGTTACTTCCTTTACTACATCATAGATATTTTTTTTATTCAGAAGCTGCTTCCAGATGTTTAGCCTAGACTTTCTTCAAGCTGACAACTTACTATGAGTCAGCAGTAGGTCATATGATTAAAAAAATGTGATAGAGGAGCCAATTGTAACTGTTGTTAAGTATCTAGCGTAGAGGCTAGAGGGTTTAACACCTGTGTAAGAACTTGCTATGACGCTTATCTCATATTTTGGCTTTAATTCTTGCTTCTGAGATTGGTGTTTCTACCCAAGCTTGCTTCTTGCCTCGCCAGGTTTCTGCTACCATCCCAGAATTTATGCTTTCCTTTCTTTATTGCAGTACTGTGCATTATTGCTGTCTGTCAAAGACTAGATTTACCATTAAATTCAATTTATTGTTCAGTTTGTGTGCTGCACTACAGACAGTCCAGCAAAAAGTGTTCATGCATGAAATGATTGTGTACCTGTGGGTTGCCTTCTGGATGAGCTTCTGTGAGAACAGTGATTCTAGTAATGCTTGTTAAATCAAGGGAGTGTGTATCTGTCAGATGTTACAAGTACTACATCTTGTTAGACAAAGAAAAGGGGTTTGGAG